CTCCCACAACCACAAATGGTTTTACGCTTAACTTCTTCACATATTCACTTCATCTCTCCAACGCCCTGGGACACAGTTGAGGCATTTAAAAATGTAGTACGCAGAAATGTAAAAAAAAAAAATATATATATATACATCATATTGTTATATAAAAACAATATTTTGTAATATTTGGTTGTGAGATTATTAAACTGTTGAAAATGCACATGGTTTGTGTCAGTAGACAAACGGGCCAAATATAATTACACCATGGGCCAGATTTGGCCCGCGGGCCTGAGGTTGACACCTATGCACTACTGTAAGTAATTAATACAAATTCTCTATATATATATATAAATATTGTGTCACAGAGTGCATTTTTTATTTTATTTTTTAGAACTCTCAAACAGATGTGTGTAACCGTTGTTGGGGGTGTACAGCTCCAGAGAACGGCTGAGCTCAGTAACTATTTAAATCCCATCCAGACTATTGGGATCGCGATCGGACCCAGAAAAGGTCCAGTTAAAATCAAATTCTACCACAGCAGGAAAGCTTGGTCAGCGTCGTGCCGACGTCCTGTACCTGCGGCGCCGCCGTCGTCGTCTTCGTACATGGCTCTTCTGCCGAGTCCAGGTCTGAGGCTCTGAGGCCGCGCCTGGTCCCTGGTGTCCACGCCGCCGGGGGATGTCGGGTTGTCCTTTCTGCGTCTGGAGGCGGGGGCGCTCTCGTTGGGCTGCTTGTCTTTGGCGAGGCCGCTGTGAGCTGGAGGGGTCGCCCTCTGCTGGGGTGTCACGGTGGCCCGGTGGGGGGATGACAGAGTGATGAAGACGGAGGACACCATCTTCTTAGGTGGAGCTGCTGATGCCATGACTGTCTGTATATAAATATATATTCACATAAATCACAGACAGGGCTGAGGCAGTGGTTATGATGACATCACACAATGACTATTGTTTGACAAACATATATATATATTTATATAAAACTCCACAGAGTTCAGAGTTAAGACCCAGGAGGATCTGACAGTTGGTTAGATTTCTGTCTCTAACGTCACTCCTGTTCTCACACTCACGTCATAAAGACAAAAGCAAACATTTTTCAGTTGTGTTTGAGCTCAATGAATGGTTTTTGAAAACAGGAGGTACAAATATGTTTGACTTGTTTTCTAACACCCTCCCTCTTTCCCCCCATCTATCTCTCTCTCTCTCCCCCGTAGACTGTAGCCTGCCTTTCCTTACCTGGGTGAGCAGCTGTAGCAGAGAGTGCTGTGAAGATGGCTGTCTGTCCTTTTTTCTTCTTCTTCTTCTTCTTCTTCCTTTCCCTGTTCTGTATCTCCCAACCTTTGTTTTCCCTCCTCTGAGCTGCCACACTGAGAAGACTTGACTCCGGCAGAGAGGACGACTATCTGCACAAGGCCACTCCTTTTCCCTCTGTACCTCCCTTCTCCGCTCCCCCTCGTCCGTCGACCCCTCCTCCCTCCACGGCTAAATGACAACATCATCCCAGCCGTAAAAGGTGAACAGTTAATCTTGGGCAAAGCTAGAAAATATATTTGAAAAAAAACGGACACATTCCACCACTTTGTACAACTTTTGTTCAACACACAGACATTAACACTCATGCACACGCACACACACAGTGACCCAGCAGCAGCGGTTGTGCAATCAAACCAGGAAAAAGCTATCAACAAAGTTCAGCGCCATAAAGTTTGTGATAAGGTTTTCAGCCTTAAATGGACAACAACCACCACCCACACCCCCACACACACCCCCCCCCCCCTCTCTGTTGACTTTTTTTTTTTTTTTCAGGCTGGCAGGATGTGACCGTACCTGTCTGCCTTTCACACACACTCACACACACTCTCTCCAACTCTGGCCTTCTTCCTCCGTGCGGCTCGGCCTTATTGTTCTGTTTTTTTTTCCTGCCTCTCTCATTGAGTCTGCCTCCCCTTTTTTTCTTCTCCCTCTTTCCTTCTTCCCCTCCCCCCACTACATTATATCACTTCAGCCTTGACTATCACTCAGTTGTGGCGTTACTTCCACTGAAGTGCAGCGACCGATCCTCGAGTACGAGCTGGACTCGTCAGGATCAGCAGCATTACAGCGCCGTGAAT